ACTAGAAATTAAATATAATTTAACTTCCCACTTGAATTATTTTTTCGTGGTATAGTGTAGTGGTATAGTAGTGTTCGATTTCCAAAGTGTTATGTTGACATTCTGAGCCTCTAGGAGGAATGAACGTATTTGAATGCAAGCTGAAACTAACTGTGCCCAGTATTCGATTAATTCATGCATAACCACTATTAATACTACTGTTATTATTATCTTTGTTATCATTACAATTATTATTATTACTATTATTATTATTATTATTATTATTATTATCATCATTATTATTATCATTATCATTGTTATTATTATTTTTACTATTATTATTACATTAAAGTAACAGAAATCGAAACAAAATACTGAGTTTAAATATACTAAAAACTCCGAAATAATTGCACAGCAATGGTGGAATGGTTAAGGTCGTCACTTCCCACGAGGATGTTCCGCGATCGATCCCATTCCATGCCAAGTGGAATGTTCCACGTAGGTGCCATTGTTGTGTTTTAAGATCTTCTAGGTTGCTTTGAACATGAAAATAATTTTTTATTTGATTTTTTTTCCTCGTTACATAGCTACAAAAAATATCTTTTCATGTGTTAATACACATTCTCGGGAAAAACGTAATGACAAACTAAGATTGTTAATAAATGTTATAATTCAACTATGCTCAAACCTGGGGAAAATATAAATGAGGTAAAAATCTGTAACAATACCTGATATCAGACAAATCCGTCATAATGATTGTTATTAAGCTACTTCCCTTGCTGCATTTTTTTTATGAAAATGCGTTTGAAGTTTGCAATTGTGTTTACATTCTTTTTGCAGACGTTATTATTCTTATCAGTTCATTTTATGATTTTATCTGAATTATAGAATAAGGAAATTATAAAGGATATTGTGCATTACGGACGGGAAAAAACAGTCTTCTTTATGATGAATCATCACAAAACATGTGATTCAAAAATTATCACTTAAAATAGAAGAAAAGGAAAAAAGAAAAAGGATAAAAAGAAAAAGAAGAAAAATACAGAAAAAAATATATGTTTGAAATATTTCGATAAAATCATCAAATTCCTAAATACTGATTTGATAACTAGTATCACAGATTTCCTATGACTATTAACAGTCCCGATTATGATCATGAAATTGATATTATTATATCACTATGATTTCATTGGCATTACGGTTTTATTGTAGCATTTCAGTCAGTACAAGTGATCTTGTCCGTGTTTGCGGTTTGATAGGATATTACTCTTTAAAATCAAATTCAATCAACCGTGTTGCCGTTGTGTAAAATATTTAGTGATCGTGAATATCCAGCGGACAAGTTAAATATCAATTTAGAAATATGTTATTCTTTTATTTTTGAGTAATTAAGGCCTCTCCATAAAAAAAAAATATTCTCCCAGGCGATGGAAAAAAATAAAGCAGAGATAAGTAGATATGCAAACAGATATAGAGATAGAGAGAGAAAAAAATACCATTATGCAATGGTGGTTAGGAACGATAATAAATTGTAAATTAAAGTTAAAATAAAGGGAGCTTAATGTAATCACTTTTAAAAAAGGAACTTTTAGTAGGCGCTATTTGGGTTTACTTTTTTAATGTTTATTACCCCATTTTAACTTTCAACATTGTTTCTATTATCGCCATTACTATTGATAGTGTTCTTTTAACCAGTGTTATTATTTCTACGAACGCATCTCTCTTGCTCGCTCTCTTTCTCTCTACCTATCTAATACAAGAAAAAAATCATAGTGTATAACAATACTAATGTCTTTGATAGTTAATAGACATATTACCGTATTTTGAAAGGATCTTTTTGAAATTCCGTGACATTTTCACTTAGTGATAATCCTTTTAGAAATTATAGCAGGCAATCCTTTGTCTCTACAGAGCAAATTCCATATGTATTTCATCCTTTACCTTATTTTTTATTTATTTATTTTTTGTTATGAAAAATACATTTCTTCTGTAGACATTATCTGGCTTATAATTACCGTCATTATCATTATCTTTGTAATTATCTTCATCATTATTATTATCATTATGATTTTCATTATTATTAGTACAATTATCATCATCATCATCATCATTATCATTATCATTATCATTAGCATTATTATCATTACTATTATTATCATTATCATTATTATCATCATTAGCATTATTATATTAAAGTAACGGAAATCGAAATTAAATTGAATATCAAGTACTGTGTTTAAATATACTAAAATCTTCTTAATAATTGCGCAGCAATGGCGGAATGGTTAAGATCGTCACTTCCCACGAGGATGTCCCACGATCGACCCCATTCCATGCCAAGTGGAATGTTCCACGTAGGTGCCATTGTTGTGTTTTATGGCCTTTTAAGCTGCCTTAGACGTAATAACATAAAAATAGATATTTCGTGATAGATAAAAATAATAATAATATTTTACATTTTCTTTTCAAAATATTAATGAGGTTAAAATCTGTAAGGATACTTGATATTAATCAAATTCTT